CAATGGCTGCATTGCACTCTATTCCTCCCAGGGGACCAAGCTTTATGAATCAGCAACTTTTGCCTTCAGCAGCTATACCTAGCAAGTCCCGGCCCCTATTGTCTCCAAAGGATCACTTTGTCGATTCACAAGATCAAGAAGCTATGTCGAATCTAGAGAATATCCCCTCATTTTCTCGCCAAATAGTACCCTTGGCTGGAAGTTGTATGCGGAAATCGCAATCAAAGCCAGCACCAACGACTTCATTGTCATCTTCAATATTGGTTGGTCGCAGTGCCCGCTTATTTGCTGCTCGCACAAACCAGATACCTGAAACTCCTGTCATTTTAAGAGCTAGAGTGATACATTTACGTCAGGAGACACCTCGAAGCGGGCCCTTGACAAGGAAGCCAGTCTTCCATGCATCGATTGGGAACAAGGTGGTCGTTTCAGATACAAGTAATCGGCATAAATGTATGGAACAAGTCAGCAATGGTGGGTCGCAGGATAAAGTAAAGGCAGTATGGCAAGCTGTCTTTGTCAGATAATAAAAATTATATCGGCTAAAAAGGGCTTGCTTATAAAGTAGGCATTAAAAAAGCAATTGCTTATTAGCTTTCCTAAAAGAATACGTTCTTCATATTTTAAAAATCTATCTCTTTCTACATTATTTTGAATATTTAAGGCAAATTTTAATTATTTATTTAGATTTAAGACCATAAACAGATTTTGTGAAGACAGGCAATTAATGAGCGGTACATAGACATACTTTCTGGGCTGTATAGCATTTTAAGACCTTGCCTGTGTATTTTTCTCACATTAGAACTGCTTAGATGAAACAAGTATAATACTTAAACAAATTAGTTACAGCGAGACATTTCTATAAAAAGATTAATAAAAAGAAAGTTGAAAGGTATTTAAAATCTTGTTTTCAGTAGGCGGTGACTTAACGATCAATGTAAGAGAAGACATATCAAAACTCCACAATAAACAAAAACAACTATATTTCCAGAAATACTATAGTCTTCTACTATTTAAATTTTAAAAATCTCTTTA